GCTCTCACACAGGCTTAAAGTTGTCTCAAGGAAGTCATCGTAGGCACCGCTCGCATACTCAGCAGATCTACGGCCCCTCAGCTTGCATGTGAAGAACTCTTCATTCAGGAGAGGGCCCTGTTCAGCTTCAGTTTCCTGCGCTCGGACTGAATGGCCTTGCTTCTTCAATGCCTCGGAGATTTTCCTAGCCCTTGCATAGTACCCTCCCATCGTTGTTATTGCAATTTCTCCGTGGCATTCACAACCCTCGCTCCAGCTTGATTGGTCCTCCAACACTCCAGCCAGAGTATCCACCAGCTGGCAGTAAGCCCAAAACTTGTCAGATGCGATGACAGCGCTGCAAGTTTGTATGAACTTTCCATCCAAAGACAAGCGCTCTTTCCGCTCGTCAGTTTTGCTATTCTGATTTTGAGTTCCTCTTGAAGTTGACCGGCCGGAAAAAGCAGCTTCGTTCCACCCAGCAAGCAAAGCCCCCCGGCGTCGCAACACACCTCTGGTCACCCTGACCAATGAGCCCCAACGCCAAACAATAAATGTACCTCCATCAAAGTACTCCATGACTCGTCTGTACTTCGCAGCAGTGGAGCCACTTGCAAAACAGGTGTCCTTGGATTTGGATTAGCTGTTATAGACATCGCTGAAACCATTCACCAAAAAGTAAAAGACTTGTGCCTTTTGTTTTGCCGCAGCACATTTGAACATACTTGACTTGGCCTCACATAGCTGTTGCCTCTGAAATTATCTTGTTCTACGACGCCTAGAAGGAAGGCATGAAAAGGAACATGAAGATGAACATATCATGACAGGCGTCTAGAAGTCTATCTCGATAGTCTCTCTCACCGAGCAAAGTGCTCAAGGGCTTCAGCTCATCCTGAATGAGCTGACAGGACACTAAAAAGAAATCACATAATGAAAGAGGAGCGCACTGGTTATGTACAAGAAAATGCTAAACTAAACTACGAACTACATACTATCATATATTACAATATACTGTGTATCTACTGTATAGAAAAATATAAGCTTGAGAAAACATACAAGCAAGTTAACACAGTTGAGGAGCGGCAAAAGTCGGATAGTGCGACAGTTTATCCATAATGGTTTTGATGCAGTTGTCGAAGAGATGTTTTGTCCCCGGAATCTTGAGCACATGAGACAAAGACAATGGATCATTTGCAGCAGCATCTGTGCCACTATGATTTCCGCTGTGGCTAGCCTGGCTGGCAGTTGGAGCTTCATCATCTACAACCATGATGCCCAGGCAGCGCTTCTTGCTTGCCTGGCTTGCCTTGGCTCCACATACATCAGTAAGTAGTTAAAAAGGAGCCTTTGCCCAGATCCAATCCAAGCCAAGCCTAAACCGAACACAGCTACACAAAAAAGTCTTTCAATCCTAAGAAGGTTATGCAGCCCTGGTGCAAACCTAAGAAGTCCCTTTGAATCGCTCACCGTTTGCTCACGAAGGTCTTGTAGTGTCACAGATGGTATCTGTCAGGGATCAGGGATTTGGTGATAGTTGGGGTTAATATTCGGCCCAAATTCCAATGATGAACTAGGAGTAGGTTCGCGGTATATATATAATAGTAGTAGTAATTACTGGAAAAGTTAAGTTGAAGTCGAAGTGCTTGTCCTGTCCTGTTCCTCCTCCCTGTGCTTTTGTCCCTGGTTGTTTTTTGCGTTCGTTCAATCAATCTCAACAAACCAGACCACACCACCTAGCCTGATCTATGAACCATTCAGTCCCAAAGTCCGAGCAGTAGCCCACGATCGAACCAACATATTTTCTAACAATGGCGGCTTGTCCGCAGCCGTCTGCGTTGATTGACTGAATCAAAGCTGTCCACTTTGCTGGCAGATTCGTGTTTCCTGAACCCAATACTGCTACCGGTAGAGTGCTGGATCTTAAAGCGTTTGCTAGGTTCCAACTGGCTAACTCTTCCTGATTGGTGGAGAGGCACCCACGACAATCTGTACTCTGTATACAGTCTTCTATGCTCATCAAATACTCCGAATGACCCTGAGGGCTCGAATCTGTAGAAACAAAGAGGAAGAACTGCTCCATTGAAGCGAACCTTTGGGCACGCATCCGCATCAATAGCAAATCTAATCGTATCCGTGTCCGGCTCAATGTAGATTGATGTGGAATGGCTAGCTGCTTTTTTGCAATCATTTCTTGGATCCTCCTAAGATTGGCAAATGTGATAATGTTTGATACGTGTTTTGTCCAGGAGTAACAAGGAAGAACAATGTATTTCTGAAACAACAAAACTAAGACCTGCAAATAATACTGAAGGACGACAAAAATCTTGGCTTCCTCTGCTCCATAGACAAAATGAATGCATCGCACTGTCACCTTCTTGTGAAGTTGGCAAAGTTGCACATATTGATTGATACAATATGATTTCAATTGAATTTGTAAACATGCAACACCCAAGGGCGAGCATGCAGCGTTCTGCATGCTGAACAATGCACACCCTCCAGTCTGTCCGTCTCACATCCAACTTCTTGCATGCCTATCAATCCTTAAAAATACCCTAGCCCTAGCCTCTGGCAAGTAGGAAGCACTCTTGAGCAACCTGGAGATCAGCAAAGCTTCCAGCAAAGTAGCCAGACCGTAGTTTGCTGGTCGTCCCGCGGGCATGGCAAATCACATGCTTGCAGCAGTCACTATAGTCAGTATAGAAGTTGGATTTTAGAAACTTCAAGCAAAGTATAGAAGATGAAACCAGCAACCCCTGCAAATGTGTTTGTATTTGTGCAGTGTCCGACTATGTTTCGCCTCAGTCTTGGCGTGTCTCCCTCTCCTCCTCCTCTTGATTAAGATTCATTATTCATTTATTCTTTGCAATGGAAATGCAGCGGCAAACATTTTGCCATGCACTGTGACTTCACCAGAGGGTCACAGCCTGACTGTTAAGACAGCATCAATTGTATTTTTCTCTTTTTTCTCTATTTTCAGGGTGGTCTCCGTTTCAAAGTTTACCAGTCTCCAAAAACTTATCAACCACTTCTTGGTGCACTATTTTTTTCCCCTGCTTAAGAACAGGAATTGTGCATTTCAACAACATGATTCTGTACAAAGACTTCCTTCTTGCATGTCACCCCCCCATTGTTCTGGGCCAATTCTTGGGAGCACTTTGGTCTT